TAGATAGATAAACAGAGTCCATGAAATTGGGTGGGGTTGGTGGAGGAGCTATGCACATAGGGAAGGGGAGGGGATCTAAATTCAATCAAAATATATTGTATGAGATTCACGAAATTTTAATAAAAAAGGGAAAACAATATGGAGAGCAATAGAAGACACCTGATGCTGACGTCTGGTCTACACACACACACACACACGCACACACACACACACACACACACATGCACACACCCCAAAACCATACACACATATACTATACACACATAATTAAAATTTTTTTCATTATAATAGGGATATGAATAAATCTCCTAAAGATATAGAAATCATATGTAATTATATCTATAAATCATTCATTCTTTCCTACAACTAAGCTTTTTCCACAAAGTGCTTCTTTTCCTTTGAAGCCTTTGCATAACTACAAGCAGTGAATTATTTACCCCTTGGTTTAATGACTATCTTTTCTATTGTGCTGTAACCTCAGGAGAACAGAGCCATGTCTGGTTTATTCACTGTTGTTTCTATGTTTAGCAACAAAGAAACCAGTCCCTCTATAAGAACATAACTTAGACAAAGAGAGAGAGCTTCAATGTTTTGTTGAAGAAGCAGGAATCTTTCAATGAATGCCATCAGTACCAACTTCTCTGCTGAGCATCTGAGGTCCCCTCTTTGCTTCCAGATATTGATAAAGTACCTTCTGCTGAACACACAGTTTGACTAGGGAGTGGTAGAGTTTTAATTTATTCTTTTATATAAATGCCCATAATTTTAAATATGAAAAAATATGTATGATAGTTAGCTACTTCTGTTTCCTTTCTTTCTTCCATACAAAAATGTCCTTTCCATAAATGACAAAACCATATTTTAAAATCCTATCTGTAAACTTATTTTGTACAATGTTGGCACAGTGGTTAGCACATAGGAAATCACGCAGACCTTTATAGTTGACTGACTTGATCTATTATTACTTGTGAATCCTTATGCTAAATTTTACAGATACAAATATCTTTAAAAATGTCATGATGCGGGCTGGAAAGAAGACTCAGAGGCTAAGAGCACTAGCTGCTCTTGCAGGGGACCTGAGTTTGATTCCCAGCACCTACATGGTGGCTAACAACCATTTGTAATTCCAGTTCCAGGGCTCCGACACCCACCTCTGACCTCTGTGGACACTGCCCGACACGGGTGCACCTACTTACATGCAGGCATTATACTCATAAACATAAAATAAAAATAATAAAATAAAATATACATATTTTTTAATGTTATGAGGATGTTCATATTTGGCAGAGTGTGGTAGCAGACGCCTATAATCCTAGCACTTGGGAGGCTGAGCCAGAACAATTGTTCCAAGTTTGAAACCATCCTGAATTACATACAGAGCTCCAGGCTATCTAGGTTTTATGAGACCCTGAAACAAACCAGCTCCCCTCAAAATGAAGACATTCATATCTGCTAGGTCTGTAATCAGTACACTACAGTACTACGATGGCAGACTATGTAAAGCAATGATGGGACATAGGAGGAAAGGATATCAGTTGTAGGAAACGGATACCATGCAAAGGAATGGGATATAGAACCTCCACAAGCGTGAGAGGTAGAGCTTAGGGAACAGCATGTCACGCTATAAAGTTTCTATGTAAGTGGGGAGACAGTGACCAGTAAAATGGCTGACAAGGTAGGCTGAAGCACACTACAATGAGCATTTTAGTGACAACTGGAACAGTTAGGTACACAGACATTAGAGATAGGATGCTGTGCTGGTAATTAAATGGATATCTAGTATTCTGATGTCATGACAAAAAGAGAAAGGAAAAGAGAAGGATTTGAATTTTGTTTTGTTGGGGAAACTTTAATTTTTCACATTTATTTTATGTGGGAGGACAGACAATGTTTTCATGTTTATGGAAGTCAGAGGACAACTTTCAGAAGTCAGTTCTCTCCTTCCACCGCAAAAGATGCCAGGAATTGAACATGGGTCATCAGCAAGCACCTTTACCTGCTGAGCCATCTCACCAGCCCTGCTTTTTATTTTAAATGAATTTCAATATCATTTTCCACAGTGTAACAGTCCACAATGTTCAATAAGAACATTTACCTTCCAATTACAGTGCATTCTGAATACTAGCTGGCTGTATTTAGAAGACATTGAAAATTAAGCATTGTTACCATTATTCAATTGAGAAAAGAAGACTAGAATAAGCTTTGGTTATTTTCTAGTACATCAGCTATCCAAACTCAAAATGATAAGTTAGTGAACAATAGTCAGTACAGAGTATCACAGAAGATGACATCCATATGTCTTGTTATGAGTACTTTTGACCTTGAGGCAGTGGGGTAAAAGTAAGAGACAGAGTGTTTGCCATCTCTTCTGTCCCAGCTGGGTCATGCTTCCTCCATAGAGGCTACAAACCTCCATTCTACTCAGGGCCAACAGGACCAAGGATCTCACTCCTTGTGGTGCGATCACTTTGCAGGACTCCTGCATTCCTTAGCATTTCTATTTGGCTCTTTCAAACCTAAGGGAGCTTAGCCCAACATGCCACTAGAAGAGCTTAACCATACATATCGTTCACATCACATCACATCACACTGCTTCAGACCATTTACTGCTGGGTTACTACCTCCCGGAGGCGGGAGATAATGTTCTCACACTGGCAAAAAATGTGTGTTTTCAAAACTGGAGTCAATTCTCAGAATGGAAAAACAATCAATTAACCAAAACTCATGTGGCTTTCTATTTAATTAGGGCATCTCGAAGAAAAAGAAAACCAGAAATATAGTAGCAGATTAGCCTGATTGTAAATGCCGTTCAGTCAGTGTTTAGAGAAAACAGAGATTCATCCAGAAGATGCTGATGAACAGTTTAGGAGGAGAGTGGACCTAACCTTCTAACTGTCAATGATGCTACAGCCTTTTAACAAGAGCAAGTAACACATCTCAACCATTCCGTGGGTTCTACCTAAATGAGATGTGCTGCATAAGAGTTACAGTATGCAGGAGGCACATACTCTAAATGAATGTAAAAGAAAACCAGATTCAGAGCTCTGCTGGTGTTAATTAATAGCTATAATGCCTTGGTCATGGTCATTTGGGATCCTGGTTATCTCGAAGGAAAGCAAACTGTTTTGAAGCTATTAGAGTTTTTCCTGGGCTTCCTTCCTAATGGGAAAGTTAAAAACAAAGACATTATGCTAAAAAAATGGTATCGAGTTTTCATTTTTAGAAAAAGCAAAGCTGAGTAGGTTGCTACAGAGAAGTCAGAATACCCTATAACCTGGTGATGGTCACTGTGGTCCTCAAATAGCCCAGGAGTGGTAAGGTTCCTAGGAAATAGCTTTGCACAATCATCTTTATGTCACTTCATTTACCTCTGGGCTTCCCTGCATAGGCAGCGTTTTTTCAAGAAAAATAGCATACCCATTCAAAATTCTCTGCTGGTTTTACCTGGCTCAACATAACACTATTATAGAAAGGCAAATATAAGCCAGTACTTTCTGTTACACTGGGAGATGGACAAACAGTAAGAGAGCGAGAAGAGGGAGCAATGAAACTGGGAATGGAGCTTCAAGAGAGAGATGTCATGGAAACTGTCATTTGGTCCTTCGAAGAACTCTTTCGAAGCCTTTTAAAAATCACCTGGAGTCATTATCAAGCCCTGATTTACTGTGATCCATATTCATTTATTGGTTTCTGAGGATATTTTAGGCAAGTTAACTTTGGGTTATTATTGGTCTTATATTTTTCAATATGACTTTGTGGGGTTTGTTTGTTTGTTTTGGTATTTTGAGACAGGGTCTCCCTGTAGTCCCCGCTGGCCTATAGACCAGGTAGGCCTTGATCTCACAGAGATCCACCTGTCTTTTCCTCCCAAGTGCTGGGATCAAAGGTATGTACCACCACTGTACTTTGTATTTTAAAAATATCTTCAAATGCATTATGCCAATCAAGACCCTAAAACAACTTACCAAAAACTGATATCAAGAAACTGGAATTCAACATAGCTAATAATAAGAAAAAATCCATATATACCTATATACGGTACTGTGTGTATTACATGCACATAGGTATTTAGCTCTGATTTAATATTGAAGCAGAAATTCACTTTCTCTCTTTTTAATTAAAGAAATCAATGAAGCACTTACTGTATTGAAGATTGAGTGAAAAATCATAAATAGGAATGATAATCAGTAAAGGACCCAGTGAAAATCACAAGTGCATAGACTAAACGGCTTCTATTAAAATATGAATTTAAAAACATGAACTTAGTCTTTTACTCACATTAGAATAAGATGCAGAATATAGCAGATAGTGATGTGCTGAGTGACCTTTTGTACTCTGCCCACAGCACTGGCTCAGGCAACTGTGAACAACGGCCCACTGTCCTTGGCTGAATTTCCTTCTCACCCTATCACCAGTCCCCACTGAGGTCTCATTGCCCAGCTATTAGATTGCTGAAAACACCAAGGTGCTAGGATGGTGGTGAGTTAACAGGCACTTGGAAAATGTAGCCCCAAGTTCTCAAGCACCATTACATCTCACTAGGCGTTCTTAGTGAACCGTCTTAGAGCTCAATACTTAGTTGTCTAACTTAGATAACCATCTAAGCTCCCAAGCCCAGATTCCTTGTTTATAAAGCAAACTACCTAGCTGACTTGTAAAATACTAAGACCAATTTAGTGTGTAACACTCAGCTTTTAGAGGTTTGACAGCCTTCTAAAGCAGTGACTCTTATGTATGAAGTGGCTTTTCACTTCTTAATGTCAATATTGCTAATGGTTTAAAGGAAGTATTTATAGTAAAATGTAAAAAGTAGAACAAATGGGGCCACATGCTTTCGGAATTCTTTCATTCACTCTCAAGGCCTTCACACCACGAGATGAGGAACAACAGGAACTCTCAGTTGTATAAAGGACAAGTAAGCAGAGTCACATCATCAAGTGCGTTTATGTAATGTAGAAAGGAGGAAACTGAAGACCATCCACCTGCAGGGTCCAACTTACCCCTAGGGCTCTTGTGCTCTCCGTCAGTATGCAGAAGCATGGCAACCGGCATGCCCACGTTCTTGGATCTTCCAGCCACAACCACATTTTTTCCAAATGTTTCAATTCCTTAAAAAGTACAGTTTGATTTAAATGCAGAACCAACAACAAGAAATAAATTAAACATTTCAACAGTCAACTGAAACATTCTTTAAAACTTGTAATTAAATTTGGATTTTATGGTTTGTCTCTAGCATGTCTGCACTGGATTATTTATAAATTATTTCTTTTTACACCTCTTAGATTTGTCACTTCCTCTCTCATTATGCCCTCATTTAAAAACCACAAAATTCTCAGTTGCCACAGAAGTAGTTTTAAATGTTGAGATTCACATGAAGATGCAGAGGTGAAGATTCTTAAAACATATAAACTGACAATTATACAAGAAGCCAGGCACAATATCAACATAAACAGCAACCCAACCCTGAGCAACACTGGGATAAAGTCAATAGAAAAAACACTTTTCACAAAGTTCCTGAACTTTACTTCATAGGAGAGAAGCACGACACTTATAGACTTACCAGCATGTGAAAGACAAGGCTAGCAGACCTAGCTCTACCATTTGGGGGCATAGTTTCTTCACAGATAAAATGAAGAAGTTAGAACTGAGGTTTATTCAAGTACAAACATTGCAAGAGTATGATTCTAGAATCTCCTAGAAATTTTTTTCTATTAGTTAGAAATCAGAAAATTATAAGGGAGATGTTCCAGAAAGAGAAATTATAGTGGTAGAGACAGGAAAGTTATCAATGTGGAAGACAATTGGGGTCCATGAATGCAAGGATAAAATCTCCACACACTTAACAGCATGTGAGAACAGGCCATCATTTAGCATAGCTCAAGGCTAAATGCTTTTGTGAAAACCTAGGTCAACAGAGATGGTTTCTCTATAACTGACACATTATTTTAGTAAGAACAAACATACTACACTTTGAGGACTGAAGAATGAAAGTCATAATTCAAATGTAGGAAGGCACAGCCAGTATTAGGAGGGCCCATTGTCTGTAAGACACAGCTGTAGTTATCTATAACCTGGTACATTTCCCTTCATTTTCTTTCATTGCAGATTGTTCTCTGATGTCCACAAATTTTCACATTTTTACAGATGGAAGCTTTATGCTCATCATTTTTTTTGACTTTTAGACTGAAGTAGTTCTATCAAAGCAATGCCTTAATGCTTGGTTCCACACGTTACATCCATGTCCAGCAGACTACAAGTTACCAACCTGTTCTTTTTATTATTTCCCAGACAGCACTGGCAGTAGCAGGTATCAAAGAATGCTAATCGAGGCACAGTCTTCCAATAGTGATAATATGAAATCCATCAACATCTTTTTCCGGGGCAATTCCATTGCATAGTGTTCTCTCACCCACATGATCTGAAAAGTAAATAAAATTAGTCTCATTTAAAATGTATGTTTACGTGGAAGCCTAGAAAATGAAAAATGGGGATCTACAGTCAGATCACTTGTGATTCAGCTCCAAGAAGTATAGAAACCTTTTTTTCTTGCCTTTAAAATAGTAAATCAAAACACTCTTGCTGATAGCTCTAGTTAGCTGTAGCTAAAGTATATGCTATTGAAGATTCACAAGTGGCTGGGATGGTAAAATGTGTGAAATAAAATAATTTCAAGGAAATCTAGCAGCAAATAAATATTAAGTCTGCTTCAGCAAGTTCTTGGACTTAGAGTGTTTGAATCCACTTTTCTCCAATACAGTGTATTTCCATTAATAGGCTTTGGTTAAAAACTTGAGCACTGCAGATTAAAAGGGATTTATTAGTTTTAAAACATACCTATAACACCATTAGTTCCTTGTTTCCTCTTAAACTATATAATGAAAAAGCAAAAATAGTATACACACACACACACACACACACATACACACACACACTTTCCCTAAAACACTAGCACACTGAAATCCAACATATCACTACAGTTTGCTACAAAGAATTGAAAAAAGCTGAGCTATGAATTAGCCAAATTAAATCATTTCATTTTCAAAAACAAGTATTCAAATATAAAATGAGCTCTTACTATTCTGTGTAGACCTTAGGTTACCATTAACCCAAAATTAATCTGCCTACCTAATACATTGAAATAAAAGCATAGCTGCTATGTAAAAGTTCTATTGTCCTTTACAAAATGAATGTCATATGGACATGTTTCTTCAAACAGTATAAAAACCTTAGTTCAAACTGTTTTTAAAGAGCTATGTCCTGTCTCTTACATCTTTTGTACTCTAAAAGTGACTACTACCTCTTTAATTAGGTCTAATATGGCATTATTACACCACAGAAGTCTTTTAAACATACACCTAGTCACTTGGAATATTTTCAAACAGAAACCAGATCTTCAGAATGTTACTCCAATGAATAGTTTCCTGTTTTCAGGGTTCACTCATTATAATTATTCTAGCAGTGTATCTACACCTCAGCTGTTCCCTCTGAAGCTAGAGGATTGCTGTAGATTTTAGCAGCGTTTTAAAATACAATACGGTTTGGGCTTTTTTCTTTGCAGGGGGTTGGGGGATGGAGATAGGGTCTCCCTGAAGCTCCAGCTGGCCTGGAACTCACTATGTAGACCAAGCTGACCTCAATCTGACAGAGATTCACCTGCCTCTGCCTCCTGAGTGCTGGGATTAAAGGCGTGAGCCACCATGCCTGGCTAAATATAGTGTTTAATTACTACTTGAGGACAAAAATTGCTATTTCTTTTTAAAAACTTCAGTGATGGTTACAGTGACAATAACAATGAACCAGGTTTTAGGCACCTACCACTTTCACTTAGCATGCACTCAAGATTCAGGACATGGACATTTTAAACAATGAAATGAGAACCTTTGGAAATGAAACAAAAATTTGAAGTCTTCATTTTTAGCTAGGGTTAAACTAGTTCATGTCTAAATTCAAAACCTACAAATAAATATCTGGGGTAAATCGATCATTAAAAGAACAAGATTGAGTTTCCTTTGTATATTTTAAGTGCCATCCTCTCAGGAAGTCTGAACTACTCTAAACTTCACCATCTATTTGCCATAGTTCCCAGTTCACTGCAAATAATACTGACACTGAAGTAAATGTGCATCTCAAACACCAGCTGACATACTTGAAGTGAAAATATTTATCTGAAAATTTGAAGATAGAATTAGAAACTGGTGATTAAAAACCAGTCATTTTCTACACTTTCTGGGGTTTGGTTTCATTTGTCTCTGATTAAATGATTGATTGATTGATTGATTGATTGCTGTGGCTGTTGTTGTTATTGCTGTTCTTGGCCTTCTGTTTGGGTCCTGAAGACTGAAGTCAGGGCTTGAAGCATGCTAAGTCCATGGTCTACCACTGAGCTACACTCCTACACTCTCTCTTGTACTTATAGTTCAACTCAGATTGTAACTGCATCACCATTTCAGAACATGGGAAAACAAAAAAACAAGAACAGGACGTGGGCAGCGAGACAGCCATATTAGGAGAATTAGCCATGACCCTTATAAAAAAATAATGGAATCTATCAAAAACTTAAAAACCAAAACTATATGTAATTATTGAGTGAAACAGCATAATATCTTTGTGATGTGGGTACGAGCAAAGGGTTCTTAGAAATAATGTAAGATGACTAAAGCATAAAAGAAAAATGAATAAATTAGAGTGAAAAAATTGAAATCATTCTCATCAAGAGACATCGGTAGGAAAATGGATAATTATACAAAAGACTGGAGGAAAATATTTTCTAAACATACGTTTAAGGATCTGTACTCAGGTATATAGAGAACCCCCAAAGCTCAGTCATTAAATAGTAACATAATTTTTTAAACTGAGTCAAATACTTAAATGAGGCAAAAAAGCATTCAAATAGACAATACGCCTGTGTTATAAAAAAGATCACTGGTTATCTTAGAGTGAGGATGAGAGACAGGAGTGGGGATGGGCTGGAAGGAGGCATGAGAAAACTCTTAACTGACAAAAATTGTTCTAAGAGTTTGCATTTTTAAAATGTAAAATACACCTAGGATGTATATGTAAATTTTATATAAATTAAAACATTGAATACAGCAAATGATATAAGTAAGTACTGAAGTTTTGGGGAAACATGTGTTGTGTCTTTAAATGGTTTTCAAATTAGATGGATTGGTGTATTAGAAACCCAAGAAGCATGTGACAAAGGAAACAGAGAGAAATGCCAGCAACTGCAGACTCTGGTTGATGGCACTCGGGTGCTCATTCTACTGCTCCTTTATTTTTTCTTTATGCTGAAAATATTCATAATAAAACGTTGAGAGTTGCAAAAAAAAAAAAAAAAAAGCAAACTTTCGCAAACGTCCTGGATCCCTCTTGCCATAGTAAACTTTTTCCCTTAACGTGCAACTTTAAGATGATATTTGCACAGTTACTGTGCTTATTTTTCATATGTCCTCTTGCCGGACAGGGGCAGAAAACATCTCTCCCCCCCGCCAACTGACGTGTTCCTAGCACAGAAACAGTACCTAGAAAGTAGAGGGCACTCAGTAAGAGTGCTTAGAATGAACGCTCCCACCGTCCCTGCTTTACAGATGAAGAAAAGGCAAAAGTAGTGGACACTGAGAGCAAAGCGAATACTGGGCTACTGCTGGGCAAAGGCTGATCCCTCTCGATCCTCTAATGTCGCTCTTTTAAAAATATAAAGAATCAAAGGTGATTTCATTGAAATTCTACTTTGCTCACCTCTTTGCATCTACATCCCTCAGTACTGATTTAAGATGAGATATTTCTTCCTTTCGGGCCTTGAAGAGCAGAAAAATTCCAGGCAAAGCTTTATGCTAATAAGAGAACATTCACACCCTTAGCATGCATATCTCAGTGGTTTATTCTATTAAGAGTATAAATCAAAACCTTCCTTTAAAAAAATTGTTTTCTCAATGCTGCCATCTAGTGGTAACACATTATGCACGAAGCTAGTTGCTATTTTTCTTGCTTATGTAAAAAGGTACTATAGAAAGCCCCAGGGAGCCTCCTGTCTCTGCCTCCACCACACTGGGATTTACAGACATTCACCACCACGGCCAGCTTTTTACATGGTGTTAGGATCCAAATTCAGGTCTCCACATTTGCATGGTAAGAACTTTACTGAGCCAGTCCCCACATGGCATAATATTGATATTGACCCAAAATACCAGAAATTTAGTAAATTTTTAATTTTTTCTTAGTAAATTAGCTCTATCCAAATCTGTCACCTAAAACAAAAGCTATGGCCTTACAATGACCTCTATTTACCCTCACAAATAATCCACCTATTAACCCATTTTCATTCCTGTTCTAAACTGATAGAAATTCCACCCTCATTCCTATTTTTCCTTTGGTTTCCTTTCTGTATAACTGTATTACATTTGTTTTTGTTCCTAAGGAATTTATGTGTGAAAAACTAGCTGCCTCAATCAGATGATGGCCTTCCTGTGAGGATAAATCAGGAAGGCTCTATCTGCAAAGTGGGAGAAGAACCCTCAACAGAATCCAACCCTACTGCCCCCTTGTTTCAGAATGCCAGCCTCCATATTGTGGGAAAATGAACTGTTTAACTCTATGGAGTTTTCTTTTGCTCTCCCAACAGACTAATATATCACAGATCTTATTTTTCTTATTTGAGTGAAACCATAAAGTATGTTCTCTTATCTCTTTAGATATATTTACTCATCATAGTTATCTTGAAAGGCATCCTTGCTATATAGCATTTATCAATATGTCCTTCCTCCTATTGCTGAGTAGCAATCCATTGTGTGAATGTAGTACAGTTTATTCATTATTTACACATTCTTCAAATAAAATTGTGTGCCAACTCACTAGCAAAAGATAAGTTTACTGTCCCTCCACATCTTCAACAACACACAGTATGATTACTTGTCCTTTTAAATTTTATTCTACCATTTAGCTGTATATTACTTTATTTTCCATTAGAATTTTCCTACCGACCAAGGATGCTGAACACATATTTATGTTCTTATTTATCATGTTTTCTCCCTTGGTACAGTAGCTGCTCAAATTATTTGACCACTTTTTGCTTCATCTTGCTTAGTATTTTCCAAGTTTTTATGTCTATCATTAATTTTAGAAAGTGTCAGTCATTATTATTTCAAGCAGTTCTATACAGTTTTTCTCTCTCTCTCATTCAAATGTGAAAGTGTACATTTGCACCTTTTGAAAAGGTCTCAAAGTACTTTACCATTCTCCTCTGACACTATTATTGTGAAATCATGTCCTTATATCTAGAAATATTCGATGTTGTAAAATATGCTTTGCTGGATATGGACCCAAGTGTTCATGGTTTTTTTCCATGCTGTATATTTTCACCCTTTGCTTTTAAAACTCTGTATTACACCTGAAGTGTGTTTCTTGCAAGGAACATACAGT